CCAGTCAAGACCGCCGTTTTTCCTCCAGTCAACAACGGTCGACCGCCGGTCAACCGCGGTCAACCGTCACGGTGATTCTCCAAACTCGACGCGATGAATTTCGCGGTCGACCGTCGCGCCAAACGGTCGACCGTTCCGAGCCCCGTAGCTTAATTAAATGATATTTTTATCAGATTACATCCAAATAAAATAAAGTATATTTATCCAATCATGTTGTTTACAAATTGTTCATATCATGTGATTCATTTCATCATTCATATTGAAACATATCACATCATGTGCATGCGCAAGAGATCAGGCTGAAGTGCGTCTCTTGTAGTTGTGATTGTGCGGGACTTAGCAGTCCGACATCACGGACCGGGCTTAGTGTACGTACATGGTACTTAGATTTTCGAGTACCACCCCTATTTCTGCGTGAGTTCGTCGTACCAAATGGGCGAATCTCATAGTTCAAGGCTCGTCCTTGCGACTTAGAATCATACAGCATGAAGTCATCATCAAGTAAAATCATCATGACTATGTGTGACATCAATTACGCATCATGTTATCATCATCAAGTACATCAATTACATAGATGTCATGTAATCATCATCAAGAACAAGTATATATGGATTATATGAGTATCATGTAATCATCCTCACAAGCAAATTGATTTATTCTGCCATCATGTAATTATCATTAAATATTTATCATCATGATTCATCAAATTGTCCATATGATATAATGTGCCATATTATGAATATTATTATTATACTTTTTGTGGACATATATATGTAAATGTATATGTCTATGAATTATTCTACAATTTTAGCGTGGTACCACTCAGCGGTTTCGCTGAGCGTGTAGTTTGTATTTTTTCGTTGACTACACGTAGGTAACAAGAAGACAATGATGGAACCTTTCCCGGAGGGCATTGAGTCAGAGGAGATGCAAGGATGGCAGGCAAATGTTGATCATCAGATTTTTTCAATGTGTCATGATTTGATTATTATTGTACTTCCGCATTACTCTGAAAATATTTTTTTAAATGGGTCGCGATCCAGAGTCTGTAAATTTAATATTTATAAGTAATTGTCATTTTCAAATGTCTAGCGAAATTTTTATTTAACTCTTGTTTCACCATAATTCGTATAATTCCGGGTTATACGGATTGGGGTGTTACAGTTTTAACATTAATTTCATGTTTTATGATTCTTGGTTCTTCAAGCATGTCAAACACAAAACTCAACCAAACGATCGTTTATGAACGTAGAAACGATCTATACAAACATTCTAGTCACTAGATATATCAACGAGCTTACCTCGAAGGTAAATGAAGGTTTTGAATATTTTCCGGCGAAACTTCCGGCGACGATTACTCCCAACTCCGGCGACCTTTCACCAATATGATAGCACCACTGCATTGTCCTCACTCCCAGCAACAGAATTGATATGAGGATGGTGAGAAATGATGGAGAATTGAGGGAGTGAAGGTGGTCTTATATAGGGAAGGAATGGAGGAAGAAACCAAACAATGCTGCGTAGGAATTGCGTAGGAACATATATTCGATCGGCTAAGTGGAGTAGGAGGCGCCGTTCCTGATTAGGACTAATTTTGGTTCCAGTTGGGGTACACTTTTTTGTCCAACTTTATTCGAATTGAATTCCGTTTGCACCGTTGTGATCAGACGGTCGAATTCTATCCAACGATATAATTTTTATATTTATTTGTAATACTTTTTCCGACATCATATTTTTGGTTGTTTGACTTTGACAGATGATAAGAACATTTTGTTCTTATTTTCTTCCACATATTTTAAGCATTATTGCACGTAAATAGTGATCAACAAAGAATAATTTTGTAACGCCCCAAAACATACCCTAATATTTATTGAATTAAATATTCAATTAAATAAATTTTTTTTGATTAAAAATAAATTGTTGTTGGGCCTTGGGCCAAAAAAAATATGTTTTGATATCCAATATCATAATCCGGATAAATGTCATAGAGATAAATCCAATATGTTGACTTACTGTGTGACCTTGATTGAGAACCTGAGTACAGACCCAAATCAAGAATAAATGAAGAATTTGTTTGTGATGTAAACTTTGAAATGATTTATTGAAATAAATAATGAGAATAAATGATATGCATGAAATGTAAAAACCTTTCTGAATAAAGGTCAACAAAATCAATTTTGACTCTGTCAAAGTCCACCACCTAAAAATATGATGTTGGAAAAAGTATTACAAATAAATATGAAAATTATATCGTTCGATAGAGTTTAATTATACGATCGCAACGGTGCAAAAGGAATTCAATTCGAAGAAATTTGGACCAAAAAGTAGTCCCAATCAGGGACTTACGTTTAAAATCTGGAGGAACCGCAGCCCCCTCCACTGAGATGCCGAAACAGGAACGGATACATCATCACCTTGGCCTCTCCCTCCGTTCTTTTACTATATAAGAAACCCAACTTCACCATTTCTTCATCAAATTCATTCTGAGAGATAGCCTTGAGTGTGGAGAACGCAGTGGTGCTGTCAATTTAGTGTGAGGTCACCGGAGTTAAGAGCTATTGTCGCCGGAAGTTTCGCCGGAAAATCGTCAAAACCTCCATTACACTTCGAGGTAAGCCCGTAGATATATCTAATGACTAGAATGTTTGTATAGATCGTTTCTACGTTCATAAACGGTCGTTTGGTTGAGTTTTGTGTTTCACATGCTTGAAGAACCAAGAATCATAAACCATGAAATTGATGTTAAAACTATGAATTAATGATACCAAAATGACCTATAAACCTTGGAGAACATCTCTATACAGTTTCGTTGAAGTTCGATAATTAAAAACGGTATTTCCAAAATTAGACCCGAACGAAGAAGAAGATGAACAGTGGCTGAAACACCACTATCTGGATCGATCCATGGGCTTGGACCAATCCCCGGGGAGTGATTTTTCACATCATGGATCTATCCAGAGGGCTTGATCGATCCCTCGAATTTCTGATCCGAAAATTTGTTTGAAAATGTTATTTTTGAGCTCTAAAATCCTATTTTTGATACCAATTGATTATGATCATTATAAAAATGATTTTTCACATTAAAATAAATAATTTTAACAAAAAAAAATATTATGTGATGCATGTAGTTAGGGTGTTAACACCCGAAGCTAGGCCGCTAATTGTTATTGATTATTATGTTGATTGATGATTATGGTAATGATTATTGATTGATAATTATGATGATTAAATCTTAATAAATATTCTGATTAAAAATGATAATTGTGAATGATTAAATCATAATGAATATATTGATGATTGTGAAAATAATATGTATTGTCAAGGTTATCTAGAAGACCTCTAAGATATACCCATATTAATGTTGATTTGAAAGGTATCTAGAAGACCTCTAAGATATACCCATATTAATGTTGATTTGAGAGGTATCTAGAAGACCTCTAAGATATACCCATATTAATGTTGATTTGAAAGGTATCTAGAAGAACTCTAAGATATACCTATATTATTTAGGCCTTGCGGGTATGAACCCCGGTGGGTAGGGTTAAAACGTACGTATGGGATCCTAGAACCAAACTTGAGTACCTACTCGTTTGGGGGTTCCACCCACCCAACAGTGAAAACTACGCTGTCGGTTTTTGGTTGGCCTTAAGTGAAGGTAAGTTTAAGATTTTCAAAACCCTTTTATTTTAAACTAGGCCTAGCTTAAGGATTATTTAGGAATATTTTATACTGGAATATAGTTTAATTATTTAAACTAGAATTCGTGTAAGGGTTGACAAATATTAAAGTTATTGGCCTTAGGCTAAGAATAGTTTAAGGATATTGTTGAATGTTGAATATTGAATATTGAATATGAATAAATATTGAATGATGAATATTGAATTGAATATTTCAATTATTATGAATGACTAGTGAACATTGAATGTGAATATAAATGTTGAATAATGAATAACTTTAAATAATTATTGATTATCTGAACTGAATATTATGTGCATGATATCAAATGATTTGATTGTGAATTTAGATTCAGTTTATATGGATGTTCGACGCATTAGATATGCTTACTCAGCTTCAACGCTGAGCGTGTAGTATGTTTTATTTGCTACACGCAGGTTAATAGAAAGAATGAAGTGACGTGATCCTGGAGGCAGACGAAGGCGAGATTGTCGGAATGGATGTGATGGTTCTGAACTAAAGAACATAAATAAATTATGTTGTAATTATGATTTGGTAAAGCTTCCGCAATATTGAAAACTCCGTACTGTTTATGATATGAAAAATATTGTTGTGATAAATAAAAGTGTATGAAATGTTTTAAATTTTTACGATTACCAAGTTAATACTTTAGTCTGAAAGGGGCTGCAGACCTGGACGGATTAGGGTGTTACATTTTGGTATCGGAGCTAATGGTTTTAAAACCAATCTTCGGATCAAAAATTTGAATTAAAAAAAAATTGTCAATCACATTCACGACTCTCGCGTCCCTCTGCTCCAGGAAAAAGGTATGATAATTTACTTGTTAAATAATGACTCTATTAGAATTCTCATTAAATAACAATTGATTAGTACTGAAACCGTATCGAGCATAGACTCTAGTTGAACTTTGGTATTCGCTGAAGAGACAAAAGAATAAACGAAATGTTTATAATCTCCTGATATGTTATCAACGTACATTTTGCATCGCAAATGACGAAACTGATCTGCATCGCAAAATTGTACGAAAGTGAGACGACTATGAAGAAACGATAAATGTTGAGAAACATCTGTGAAGCTGATGTCAAAGATCCTCATGTGGACTCAAGATGATCTAATCGCTGATTCAAACACGAACGTTTAGAATCAATAAACTCTGTTATCTAAAGTATCTGATACTATTGTTTGACTCATTAGGACACATTATGCGATTACTTAATGTGAATTGAAATCATTCGTTAAGCAACTATTCTTTGTAAAACATCGTTGAAGTACCATACAAGGAAATCGACATTATCCTTAGTATGCATTAACGGACTGAATGTCGTTGCTGTTGTCAACTTGTGATGAAGAACTCCTCAATTAAAGATCAATGATGGTAACCTTATAGAGGTGAAAGCAGAGCTGATTTCTAAACCGACCAAGTTCATCTCGAATATATATGCGAAAACATCTCAAGTGTGAAGTCTATTCGTGCGATACCCAAAAAGGAAAGAAGCCTTTGACTGGAACTTGTAGTGTCCCACCCTTGAAAAGAAGAAAACCTTTGTTAACTCAACACAAATTGAGAGTGTGGAAACATCCAAAGTGAAACACTTGTAGAAGGCATCACCCAGGAGAATGTTCGATGACACAAGGATTATGTATAGGTTGTGGTAAATCTGGGCATTTTCGAACGGAATGTCCTACAAACCCTTAGAAAACCAATGCCGATGGCCCTGTTCAAAGACAGTCTACCTTAGCCCAGCTTGCACCAGCAAGAAATAATCCACAAATAAAATCATGCACATGCGTATGCAGTGAAAGACCGCGATGAAGAAAACTCTGGTGTCATCATTAAAATATTTCCTTGTTCAATAATTCAATACAATTATGCATGTATTGATCTTAGGCTTACGCTGTCTTATATCAATGTAAACTCCACATTGAATATCTTTCCGTTGAAATTTAAAACTTAGGGATTGCTTAATAAGGAATCATTTGATCAAGTGTTTTCTCTTTGAATACCTATTTTGTTCAAACGTGAATAAGGAAGAATCAATGAGACTCTATACCAACTACTGTCAGTTGAACAATTCATTATCCTTTACTTTGTATCATGACTTATTTGATCAGCTTAGAGGATCCATTGTATTCTCTAAGATTGACTTACGGTCAAGATACTATCACATCTCTGTTAAGAATGATGGACAAACTAACGATCGAGAATCGCTACCCTTTACTACGTATAGATGATTTTTTCAAAGAACCTGTTTGTTAAAAGCTATAGACATCTCGACCTTGTTCAATGAATTGATGCCTTGCTATGAAACGACTAATGATTTAGTTGTTTATCGTAAAAACGTCGATGTAGTCTGAATTGACAAAATGAAGTAAAGTGATGCTCACAAGACAA